TCTTTCTCCCACTGCTTGTGCCGGCCTCAGGTTTTGCTCGACTTTGTTGAGGTTTGGGCTCGGCTGGCTTCTTTTCTGGTGCTGGGACTGGTGGCTACCACTTTTATCATATAAAACAGGTAACTGCCTATAGGTCCCTGTGTATCCATCCACACTCTTTATGATAGGGAATCATTACTGTTACCATGTTTTTTCATTATCATAAAGGCTGCGCTTTTTCATTAAGTGTAGGCAAGGTTTTGGGCCTCCCTCATAAGGTAGCCTGTGGTTATCATTACCAATTTCATATCTTTTCAAAGCCATATCATTGCGATTTTCATTAGTTGTCTGGCGAGTATCATTGGATATTTCATTAGCTACATGGGTGATATCATTTTGTGATTTTCAATGGTTACTTTGGCAATATCATTGGAAATTTCATATACTACTTGGGCAATATCATTGCGATTTTCATAAATTATGTGGCCAGTATCATTGGAAATTTCATTAGCTGGTTGTGCAATATCATTGGCAATTTCATTAGCTACTTGGGTGACATCATTGCGATTTTCATTAGCTACTTGGGCAATATCATTGTGATTTTCATTAGCTCCTTTGGCAATATCATTGGAAACTTTATTAGCTACTTGGGCAATATCATTGTGATTTTCATTAGCTACTTGGGCAATATCATTGCGATTTTCATTAGCTCCTTTGGCAATATCATTGGAAATGTTATTAGTTACTTGGGCAATATCATTGGCAATTTCATTAGCTACTTGGGCAACATCATTGCGATTTTCATTAGCTACTTGGGCAATATCATTGCGATTTTCATTAGCTCCTTTGGCAATATCATTGGAAATGTTATTAGTTACTTGGGCAATATCATTGGCAATTTCATTAGCTACTTGGGCGATATCATTGTGATTTTCATTAGCTACTTGGGCAATATCATTGCGATTTTCATTAGCTCCTTTGGCAATATCATTGGAAATGTTATTAGTTACTTGGGCAATATCATTGTGATTTTCATTAGCTACTTGGGCGATATCATTGTGATTTTCATTAGCTACTTGGGCGACATCATTGTGATTTTCATTAG